AGGTAGTGGTTAAAGGAGACAAAACGTTGACATTAGTAACTGAGCTGAGATTATTGGTAAATATCAGATCTAGACAGGAATTAGACTTAGGTCTGGTGGGTTTTGATACTAACTGGGAGAATCCCTCCTTTACAGAAAAGTCAAATAACTGGTTGCCCTCAGGTGTTGGCGGTTTCGTCGGGCACCATTTAGTTGAGTGACCATTAAAATCACCGATTAATATAACAGAATCATCCTTTATACCTGTGTTCATTCTAATTTTTTGCAGGGTTTCACTCAGATGTTCCACAAACAAAGGCATAGGTGCAAGATCCTGTGATCGGTAGCAAACGACCAAGAAACAAGATTTCGATGACGGTAAATATAAGCTTAAAAAACAGGTTTCAAATCCAGCATCTTCCAAATGCGTATGTCTTTTAAATTTAATATCTTTACGGATATAGAGCAAGAGTCCTCCTCCCTTGGAGGACCGATCTTTACGAATAAGAGTATATCCAACTAAATTAAGGGCGATATCAGGGTCAAAAATACGAAGCCAAGTTTCAGTCACAGCTACTACAATAGGTTTTCTTACACACACATAGGAAAACAACAGATCAGTTTTAAGACATAGAGAGGACATACCTTCAACTTTTGCCAAAATGCTATTACAATTGAGGAAGAGAACTCTCATATCATCAGCCTGATGTACAGTATCCTTACTATTAACCAGCATCATGGAACAAAACGTCACAAGGACACGGCGAATGACTATTCCAATTCGACTTATTCTCTCTACTTTTATCCTCCTCAGTCAGAAAAAAAGAAAAAGAAATAAAACTAAGTCTAGTTAGCTTATTTTGTGTGATCATTGCTCTTAATTCCTTTCATCATCAATTAAACCTTTAGCATGTTGAATTGAAAATAACTCGAGATGTTTTTTACCGTCATTATACATAACTTTACCAAGGAATTTCCAGTTTATAGAAAATCAAAAAGGAATTTCACAATAGTAGAAAAAAAAGCGATATGTACTTTTGCTCGCCTTCAAATGGTGATTCAAATGGTGTATGCCGATCGGAGAAAAGTTTCGAAAACAGGGAGGAGTTTCAAAAGCACGATTAGACTCAGTTTTTGATGAGAAATCCGAATATATCAAAGTCGAAAAATGACAGTGAACGGAAGAGAGAAAAATCTCAAGTTTTCTCAGAGTGATGCTGATTTTTTGTTTTCTTGGTGCTCTTAGTATTTTGAGAATTTCTCCCCGAAAACTTGATCAAATTCGAATAAAAAGGTGATATTCGGAATCAGCGCAGTCAGGAGTACTTGACTATGTAGCTTTCAACCAAACACTGAGATAGTGCTCGATTTTTGAATTGCGCGCACCTTATGTGTTGGGAGATTCTCGATGGAATCATTCAATTTATAGAATAAAGTATGTAATTTCATAAATAGGAGAAATTATTTTATATTGGTTTCAAGACCACCCTCTAAAGATCCCTTTCAACAAAAACTTCGAGAAAAAGTGCATGATCAGGCTTTTCGAAAATTAAAAAACGTTTTTGGGAAAAATTTAGACTGTAGATTCTCCTTAGTCAATTCGAAGTCTTTTTGCTCGGATTTCACCTCCAACTTCGTGAGGATAACTATCATCCGCTACACCGTTTGGGAATATCACATTTATTTCGCTCAACGTGGCTGTTAAAACTCACGAAACAAATTTCTGTTGGCTTTAGTATTTGTGCATTAGACCCACCATTTAGTCTCACTTTATTATGTTACTGGACTCATGCGGACTGAAATCTATATTCTGTGCGCGAAATACCTGCTTAGCAGAAACTAGTAACTGGAAAAGTTCATTTTTTACAGTTATTTCGGTTTTTCTATATATTTCGCTTGGATATACATGTTGTTTTGCAGTCTGAAAGTTTTCACTCCTCGCCGACATCTAGAGAGGAAAAAGTAGTATCCTGTTGCTATTTCTTCATTGTAGTAATTTGAACCGTTCGAGCAAGACCCATTTGGTCAATTTACACATAGTTACCGTCCCCAAACGTACTGTTATGTCAGGAAATGGCTTGATTTAAACGAATTGCAAATGTCGTTTCTAAATCTCATGATTACTGATGACATATGATTTTCTTCTCAGAGACAAGAACATTATATATGAAACCCTATGTAGACTTTCTGATGCATTAAAATCAGCGGTACATACGACGAAGTGACACGATCACTCACGAAATGGAGATTACGTTTCTTTACTTATTTTTGTTTTATTGGGCCACACGCCGAGTTCCATCTGTCATCTTGCTCTATGAGACAAACAATCAACATCTTACACAATCGTTCGATTGCGTTTATTACGGTGGCAATGCATCTTCTTTTAAGCAGTCAATTGAATACTCTATTCAGCTAGAAAACTATACACCAGTGTAGAATAGAACGCAGTGTATCCTTTTCCGAAACTCAGGTGTTACTGAAAACAATATCCAGCAGCCAGATGATCTACATTGTTGAAAGTAATATTACCACCACTTTATCACGAAGCTTACACTCTAACAAACGATGGTTATTCAGTTAATGACGTTTTTTTTTGCAAATACGAGTAAATACTTCTTGCAATTTATAAGACAGGTAACACAAGAGCTCAATCAATCAATAGGTTTTTTATTTGAACACGAATGTGTCTAGGCTGTTACAAAAAAGGGAAACTTAAATGAATGTAACTCCTATGTAAGGAAAAGCTTAAAAAAAAACCAAGAGAATGTTGCACATAAAAAGAAAAAACTTGAAACGGAGAATTACATGTTCTAATTACCGTTGTAAGAACTACAATAGTTATATCTTGTAAAATCTTTCTTGTAGCAAAATACGAAGAGGTCTAAAGCTATTTAACCTATGTATCTTTTATTTAACGTGAGTCAGTTCATGATCAAAACTTCATCAGCATCCTTACATTTTTCTCAAGAGTAAAACATTTACATCATATTAAAAACACAAATGGTTGAAATCAAATCGGCGTTATCGTCCCATCGGGCGCAAATATGAAGATCGCCCTGAACGCGTATTTGTTTCTTTAGTACACCCTTCTTATATTCATCTCTACAGGGCACGATGTGATCGTCACCATTATTAATTCTGATCACATTGGCATTGGGTATTATCATATGAATTAATACTTGTTCATTCACATGTACAAGACGATGAAGAGGTTCAATTAAAATACAACATTGTTTTGTAAAAATTGAATATAAGAGTGGAAAAGTGAATGCACCAGTTATATTTGACACACGTAAACGCATATTGATAGCATCACTGTATAGATTTTCCTTATTCGTTTTCGCATAGATCGCTACTTCATAAAGACCATCAGCAGGCGGAGTAATATAGCAATTGCATATATCAGATTTCGTCTCATCTCGTTGACATAATGTGTGCAAACTACGTGGATATTCGTTGTCGCCTACTTTCAATTGAGCAAATAGATCAACATGTTGTGGTGTTTGAATGATAATTTTAAATAAATTGTCATTTGTCTCATTTAAACCTTGCTTTGGTGATAACAAAGTCAAACCTAGTTTATAATAAGTCGATTTCATGACAGGTAAACTAAGAAATTCTTCTTTGCTAATTTCTGGTTCGAGCAATTGATATCCACTACAGTAATGTGTATAGATAAACTCTTCAGGTGACGTAAGAAAATAGAAATCTTCAAGTTTATTTTCATTATCTCTGCCGCCTGCACCCCATGTTGGATCGAGTAAATAAGTGTATTGATCTAAAACAATACTATTCCAAGCGTGAGGTGATTGTTTGAGTTCTTCACCGGGTTTTAGAAAAGCCTGTTTAGCATAGCCCGATATTTCCGAACATTCAATACCTAACAATGTGCAACATTCATGATAGAGACTAACGAAACCTCGACAAACGCCTTGTCTTGTACGAAAAACAGTTTCAGCGGCATTATTATTACAATGTGTTTGATATTGAATATTTTGACCGATCCAACAGAAAAGTAACCAAGCATATTCTAAATCATTTTTTCCGTGCATTTTAATCGCATTGACAAGATCAGTCTTTGAGCTCAATGATGACCACTGTTGAACAGCATCACGCAATCGCTGATTATTAACGACAGCATCACGTTGTTGTCGAAAAGCAGCGTTAGTACGAGTACGTTTAAGATCAGCAGTAATTTTAACTTCACGATTAGTAGCAATAGTGATAGGCTTTCGATGACTTATCATTCTGGTGTTTGTCGTAGGAACTAATGCTACATTTTGTTGTTGACTAAGAGCATCGACTACTGTTTGTTTAATCATATCTTGTAATAATGTAGGTTGTTGTTGTAAAAGTGTATCAACTAGTACTTGTTTTAATTCACCGAATAATTTCGTTAGCACATGAGAATCATCGTTTTTCGTAGTAACATGTTTTTCAATTGTTTGCACAAGAGTATCTTGCAATCGATCAATTGCATTAGTATTGAGCGATGTTGTTAGATGAATAGCATCATTTTTAAGTAGACTCTGCCGTATTTCTCGTTCAGTTGTTTCAATTAAAGTACGTTCAAGTTGCTCAAAATTTGATGACAATTGTGTTTGTGAATTAGACGTTCCTGTTATCGTTCGTTTCAAGGAATTAATCAATGGAGGACTACTCTCAGTATGTTCTTCGAATGCACGTATGGGCGAATATTCGTGTTCGATACGCAAACGAGTCGTATCGGTTGGAATTGCTGGTTCTAAGAATGCTCCTTTTTGGCTTTTCGTCAATTCAGGTGATAGGTCCTTTTTCACATCTATTTTTGGTGTTTCTCGCTTGATTTTCATCGATTCACCACGTGACAGATTGCTAGCTGTCGTGTCGACATCAGATTGAGCTGGTAACGCTGAGCGGCCACGACGACGATAAGGTCTATCACTCGATTCTTGTCGGTGATCGTCGACCGCGGTCGTTCTATCATGATCAATCTTTGGTCGAGGTGGCTGGGGTGTGAGTGGACGACGAAGGACAGGCGGAGGTTTCGGTTGTACTACTTGTACTATTGCTTGACACATTGCATCGATTTGATTGAAAACACCCTTTACTTTCGGCCAATCTTTCCCCCATTGTTCGTGGACAGCCTTATTATGACAAAAGACAAAGATCGAATCTAGTTGAGACACACCATGAATAATCGGCACTATATTTTCTCCCAAACCACCGGTGACAATCATAAGAATTTTTTCATAGCTAGTTTCATAGAGAAAATTGACAAATACATCAGCATCGCTGAAATTATCGACGGAACTGACGATACTTTCTAGGCGAGTGACTGCCTGAGGAAACGTCTTCTTCAGTTCATCGATCTCATTGGCCAACCAGATGAGATGAAATGGTTGTGTGATAAGCCGCGTACTGTCGATGTCCGCACGTAATACAGTTGCATAAGCCATGAAGCCGTTAGAAGAGTTAAAAAATATATTGATTGTTTCTTTACTCTGTTGTAAAGCTTTTCCTTATCTTTGATACGTAGAATCTAAAAAAGTTGTAAAATCGACCAATGAAGAAATAGAACTATTCAAACGGGGTTGCCAGATGTGAGTAAGGCAATAAGGCGGACAATCCCACATTTAAAGATTTGTCCCCCGCGAAAGTCTGTCCCCAGGATGTCCTCCTTTTCAAGGATATTTTCTTTTGACCATCTTCGATGGACTTTTCACTGTTGTATTACGTTTCCAGTTTAACAGACTTTTAGCGTTTAGTAATTTTTCTTATATGAGATTTCACATAAGAAATAACACTAAAAGCAGAGTTGAAAATTAGAATTTAGTTGAAAGATTTTACAAAGACCTTTCAAGTAAATCATTAACTTCATAAACAATAAGCGCATTAATCACGAAAATTTAACGTGCAATAATTTTCATGATTAAGATTTATGATTTTGATAAAAAAGACGTTCCTAGTAAGAGCATTCGTGGAATGAAAATATGAACACAGTAAAAAATTACGCCTGAATTGAACGTTTAGTGCTTTTTGTGTGACAAAAGATAGTTATCTTAAATTTTATGTTTTGACATAGTAATATTAGAAAGACCAGAACAAAAGACTATACTCAAGTGTGTTTAATTCTGTCAATGATATCGCGCAACAAATAATGTGTTTTGTGTTATTCCGCTTTGTAGAAAAAACAGTCCCTCTTTTTCCAAAATTTGTCCCCCTTTACTTTTTTTCAGCAGGCATCCCTGTATTCAAAGGTCGTAAAGATAATCTTTAAAAAAAACTCTTTTAAGATTTATTTTCATACAATATTTATCGGTTACAGGTATCTATATGTCGTCATCATGATTTTGATTAGTTAAGGAAATAATCCAACCTACTCTGATAAGTTATGTTTTACCCGCTACTGGTTTATCTCATGTCAATCAAAAAAATCGTTTCGTTCTTTCGAAAATTTCTACCAACAGAATCAAAAACATGCATTTGTACTGGAAGGTAAAATGAAATACATTTCAATCTCAGAATTTTTCGTTTTTATGTATGTTGTGTGCATCAGATGAAGTGGGTAAATAGATGAGTTATGAAAGAAACAACGGACGCTTGAGTTCTCATTTGTTCTACTCTATTGTTCTCTTATTCTCCTCGTTATTGTTTGATTGACGAAAGAACGAGAAGGTTAATATAGTTACCTCTTATGCTTACTGTTTACAATGTAAACAGCACATATAAACTTTACATGGGCCGTTATCTGTGAGTGTAGCTGTATACTTGGAAAGAAATAGCGAGTCAGACTATTTGGCCGACAAACATTGGGAACGATAAAATCTCTAAACACTATATTTGCTGTTGAAAAGTCAGTGGATGATGGTTGCATTGATGAATAATAGCACCAGTGAATTCTTTTGCAGGGTTAGCTATAGAAAGAAATGTATCACATATCCAGAGACAAAATGAGAGATGTACTAGAAAAGTATCATAAAATAAAAAGCAACAAAATGATAACACTGAAAATGTTGAAAGCTTTTCTCTTCTTCGAAACAATACCGAAAACTTGTTTCTTTTCTTATCTTGGACGAAGAGGTAAGAAAGAACGTATACATGGCTTCGTTCTGTCTCGCGTCGGCACGGGATGAAGTATTTATTCTATGATCTGTTACGATTATTGGCAGGCATGGCATGCTCAGGTCGATGGCTAGAATAGCGAAATAATACCTTGTCATTATACGTATCTCTGTTTGCATTCTTAACAACTGAAATGTTACCAGGCTTCTTATGGGATCTATAAGTGGTCGTACGGTTATATGTACATAATAGTTTTCTCTCATTTCGAATTGGCTCCAATTTTCTTCTAGCTATTGAAGCATGTTGTGCTCTTAGCATCTCATTTTCGTTTACTTTCATTCGTACAAACAATCCGCATTGTAGGAACCATTATTTAAAGGATTGTTCCGATACCTGCATTCCATGAGAAACCAGTTTTTGGTTTTAGGAGCAGGTTTTTTCGTCGCAAGAATGGAGATTTGTGAGGTTTCGCTTGAATAGTATCTATGAAACCCTCTGGAGACCCTTCTAGAGACCGTAAATGAGGGTTGAATCGGTCGGATTCAACGTTGTTTTTTACCTATTCTGTGACATATAAACGAGATTTGAAAGAAAAATAAAGCCTTGAAACACGGTTTTCTTGGCTCAGTTTTCAACGAGGAATCCAATGGAAATAGATTCAAACCTCTAAAGTGTTTTGGGAACAAGCTGTAGAATATTTTTCAGAAAGTATTTTTTTTTATTACAAATACAAAAAGGATTTTTCTATTTTTGAGACATGCTCAGTATTTCGCAATTTTTAATCTGAAGATGCGGTCAGATCAAAATAAGAGGTGATATTTGTGATCAGCTCGTCCTGATGAACAGAATATGTATAATAAACGCAAAAGAATGTTTCACTCGAAGTTTAAATTCGATGCATCTTACACCGATTAGAATCTATCCTTCTTCTGTTTCTCTTCTTTCAACGGAGACTTAGTAGAGTAGTTAAGTTTACGAACTCATGATCGCATAGAAGCCACTGTGTCAACGCCACTAAGCAGCACAACTTATATTCGACATTCTTTTTTAATTAGCATCGCAAATCTTCATTGCATTCATTATCATTACAAACACGTATCAAGTCTCTTATGTAGGTTCTGTTAATTTTGCTCACGTCAGTTCTTTTATATATATATATATATTCTATTTCATTCTAACTAGTAGAAGTGCTACTTTACTTTTACTAATTATTACATTATCCGGTAAAAGTAATAAACGTTTGTTACTTGTTACCGGTAAAAAGGTAATACATCTTGTTGTTTTATTACTTATTACTTCTTTAGGTAATAATTTTTCATCATTTTACTTATTAATTTCTATTATTTTGCCTCTTATCAGTAATAAGTAAGGTAATAAAAGATTATTACTTGACAAAAGTGATAAGTAATAAGATTTATTACTTATTTCCAGGTAATAACTAATACGTTTTATTACTGATCACTTCGTAAAGAACAGTAAAGTGACACCTCTATTAACTACTATCCATTTCAATGAACAATGCACTCGGTTGTAAGTTGAATAACTGCGGATAGGAAGCAGCGACCTGCGGTTTTCAACATTCCAAAGAGAATAATATTTTTTGTATAGAAATGCTGAAAGCTGATTGGTCAACAATTGACCAATCAGATGAGTTTTCGCTTGACATATTGGGCACTGCCTAGCGAAAAGATTCCTCGTTGGATTTGAAATTCTATTACAACCATTCGATAGAGGAAATTGTTCTCTATTTATATACATAATCGATCATGCTGAGTTGAGTTGTGATGTTTATTTTCAGTTTCGAAGCGAATTAATTCGCCAGATTAAACTTTTTTGAAATCGACTCAATACGCCGCATAGCACGACATAACGTACGAATATAAAAATTTCAGAAATATCCAATTAAATGATTCCAATCACTTCAAAACTGAAAATAAACATCACCACTCGACTCAGCATGGTCGATTACTCTATGACACAGCAAGCAGCTGGCATATCGCACACAAAATCCCACGACACCATGGAAAGGAGTACTAAACACAAACCACTACCGACCACAAAACAAAAACACTTCACCCCGAAAAAAACCTAAATAAAAAATGCTATGATAGACTTCATAATCTATCATGGCGAATCCATCAAAAATATTTGCGGACTCGCTTCGAATCTTCAGAGCGCGCCCAGAAAAATTTTCAGATTTATGTTACATTGTACGATTTTTCCGTGGAATCAGAGAAGTTCACAACATTTCTCAGTTATGCTGGATTAAGACACGCGAGGATTGAGTGCAGTCCAGGGCTACACTCAGTCCTAGCATTTACTCCAACTACTAGTCCTAGCTTAGCCTCTTTTCTGCTTGGTTCATACTATTCCAGTGAGAAGATATAACGACACTCTTTTTTATTGTCGTCTTCAGAATTTATCCGTTGGGTAAAAACAACACTGCAAACGTTTAGAACGCTTTTATACGTTTAGTTAGAAGTCACAAATCCTTTTTGACTAATATCATGTTGATGTTAATCTTCAGACACTAGCGATGTCGTATTGTGAGGAAAATTAGACGATTAAACAGAAATTCTACTAGTTCTCTCGCTCACAAGTGTTCAACGAACAGACATCGATGGGTTAATTTTGTAAGACAGAAAATATGAAAAAAAGATAAAGTGAAAATTTGTCAAAAACAAACTGGAAAACATAGTGGGATATACTTTTCTCACTATGGAAAACAGAATGGAAACCCACTTTGCTCTCGTTTGTCCCACTAGTCATTAAAAACATTATAGGTGAGAACGCTGACGGAAGGGGGGCGTGAGCACTGACTTCAGTTCAGGAGTACTTTTAGAACTCTGCAGATCTTTGTAGGGTCGCGAACACCGACCGAAGGGAGGTGTAAGTTTTATCTTGGATTCAAAGTCATGAAAGGTAGTTCGCAGATATACATAGTCAAGGGACCGAGCGGGTGCAGACGAGCGTTACCTTGTTTAAAACAGAAGAAATATTTCCTTGACTTTGGTCTAGGGTCTTACCAAATGGTTGTCTGTCTGTGCAGGGTTTCTAATGAGAACTTTGAGCAGCGCGTACATAAGCGCCGTAATTCGTGGATTTTATCGTTCTGTCTTTTCCTATTGGTTGATACAAAGCGTATTTTCAATTTAGTTCGCGTACCGTAATGACAGACACAGACAGTCTGTGTGTGTGTGCGCAAAATACGGACAAATGGCTGTCAGATATTCTATGGATAAGCGAATCACAAGAGAGAAAATTAGAAAATTATTTCTTACACAACCGAGAAAATATTAAAAGAGATGACTAAAAAAATAATTAGTGATGCAGAGAGAACAAAAACTAAGCAAACATTTCTGAAGTTGGGAGATAGACGTCGCCAGAAATCAGTCCATTTTGATCTACGGATAATAAAGCCTACAGAATACAGGTGGTCTATCATGGCGAATTGATCAGAAATACTTGCAGCCTCCATTCGGATTTTCAGCAGGTGTCGAAAAAATGTTTTAGCTTTATATTACTTTGTGCCCTTTTTCTGTGGAATCACATAAGTTCACAACATTTCTCAGTTATACTGGGTTAAGATACGCTAGGACTAAATGCTAGGAGTGAGGTTAGTGCTAGCTTATCGTCTTTTTTGATTGGTTCGTCCAATTTAGTATTTTAAAAACGTACTAGGACAAGTTTTGAGTATCAGCACCGATACCACTCAAGCTGGTCCTTCATGTAGTATATTAAACGTCGATATTAACTCTATACATGTAAAGAAAAACAAGGTCAACGTTGCTTCATTGTAAGAGAGGCGGAAACTTGACATCCCTGAAAAGGCATGCAGAATATAACTTTTTAAATAAACAAATATGAACTGTATGTAACTTTTTATGCTCCACACGAGTAGAGCCTTGAAAGCTTAGCAACTAGTATGTCTGTATAAAGTGGGCGAACCTGAATGGAAGTACCCATTAAATTGGACTCTTTTTCAGAATCAGAGAAGTTCACAGTGTTTCTGAACTATACTGGCTGCGAACGCCGATCGAAGGGAGGCGTGAGCATTGTCGTGGATTCAGAAGTGATAGAAGGTCGTTCCCAGGTATAAGTTCCTAAAGTCAAGCGACCGAGCGAGTACAGACAAGCGTTACCTTTACTCTGATCTCTCTCTTATTCATGATTCATTGCACGTAAAAAACGGAAGGCTGATTAGCTCAACCAATGAAAACGAAGCGCGCGACCTTTTATGATCAGCGTACAAGAGGCAGCACAAATTTAGTTAGCATTTCCTTAGAGTGCATGTAATGAATGTTCCTTTCGCACCACAAGTATTCTCAGGTTGGCTGCAGGACCTCTCCACGAACTTGCGTCAATCGAGATTTTTGCATTCAGAATCAGCGCAACGAGTTACATTGTACGGCGCAAAGATCTCGTCGGGACCCCCTCCATTTACAAAAGGATTTCTCCTTTTCTCGCATGTTGAAGTTATAAAGAAAAATCCCAGAAATGAATTCATACGCCCTTCTATGTCGTTGAATATATATGCAGGTAGAGGATGAACAGCGCATCATATATTTCGGGTGGTAGAATTTCTGCTTGTTCCTCAATACATTACTTTTGTCATATAGCATCAGAATGTATAGTCTGAGTGAAAACGAAAAAGATTGTGAAACTTACATGAGAATTACAGCTGCCAGAATATCATGTGTACTCACAACGCAATGGAAATATTTTATACAGAAGACGGTCATTGCTTTAATACTTTGCTTGTCCACGCAACGGGCACTCTTGTTATCAATCCCTTAATATTGTACACGTGATAACTTTCGAAAGATTAAGGCATATGATATAAATCTGGATAAGCTCTGGCTATATAGACATTTGCTAACACTTGCCAAGTAGTTAAAAGATACAGATATTCCTTATTTTATACAGCTTTAATGAAAAGAGGAATTTTTAGTTTATCATTCAAAACGATGAAGAACTGCCCATATAATACACCTTGCTTCACTTCTGCACTTATTTTTAATACGAACGGCGAAAGAAAGTTTTTTGTTGCTTGACCTACGTAATTTCGGGATACTCCTGAGCCAGAGCTTATCCAGATTTATATTATGTACCTTTTAAGAAAATACTTGCGTCGTTTAATAGTTGTGCGAGCTGAAAAGATCGTCTATTTTATTCTTATTAAGCAGCGTACTTATTGGTTCCGCTGAAAACGAGCCTATTTGGGTGAGAGTATTTGTATTATGTACACAGATCCTTTAGCGTTCATATGTATTTCATCGATCAACGTATCGGGTTTTAAATCCATATCTAATATGTCAACATTGTCGTAATCAAATATTAATGTACCAAGACCTTCATTATATTCTTTTACACCTTTCATGATGTTTGTCGTACGGTAGGTCTGTTTTGTTCTAAATGGTACTTTGGCAATTGATATTTTCTTCTTTGAATGATATTGATTCGTTACTGACAACAGATCTTTGGCTTTAGAGAATGCATGTAATGGAGGTTCTTCATCGAGATTATTGGTACCCACAACAAACGTGACCGAATCAAGCGATTTTAGCAAATGATGATATTGACCGTTGTTAATTGCTCTTGTTACACCATTAATAGTTTTGTTCATGAGTACAAACATGTTTGACTGTTGATGATGATGAAAAGTCTGACGAATGTAAGTCACTACATAAACTATATGTGATTCGCAAATGTTGAACTTGACGTTTAATCGGTTTATTGTTTGAATTTGCCGTTGTCGTTATTGTCGATTGTTTTTTTGTGGATGATAACTGTTTTGTTGGTGTTGGTACAATCGATGTCGTTCTTTGACTTTGACTAGAGGATGTATTCAATGGTAGTATTGAAGGTGTTTGTGATTGTTGAACTGGTTGAGATGAGAATATTGGTGCCAAAGATTGATTCGTCACTTCAAAAGCCAGCTGTTGATCAAATTTCATATGTAATTTATCGATTATTGTTACAAGTTTCTCAATCACTGATGTAGATGTTTGTTGTTGATGTGCGAAATTTGGTAATAAATCGATGAGCTGTTGATTCGTTTTGATCATTGCACTTTGACTTTCGGTGATATAACGTAAGTCACGATATCGTTCAATACTTCTGCATTATTATTCAAATGTTCAATCGCTTCGTCGGTTAAGTATCATTTTACATAAAATCTGTTTTTTAATAATATTCGCTCTCTATCGATTTTCTTTTGTTTACGTTGAAAGTCAATTTCTTCTGTTACATCATATTTACCATCGGTCGATAAAGTTCTCATTAACACAGTATTTGTCAACGAATGAGAAAGTACTTTCAGGAGCTAATAGCGAAAATGGATCGACAAGTTGATCCGACGAATGTGTGTATCGGGATTAAATGATCACTGTAAAAATTTGCGATTAGGCATGCACCAATACAATATATTGGGCCTCAATATTATTGTATACCCAATATCGTACCCAATATATTGGAACCAATAATATTGGGCATCTAATATATTGGATTTTCACAATATTATTGGGTATTGCGTCGCTCGAGTCCAGCGCCTACTTTTACAGTACAGACGAATGCGCTTTATCCAGTTTTGAGTCAAAATATAAACCCAATTAGACATGCATCAATTAATAATCGATGTTAGATCATTCAGCAAAGTCGTTCCGAATCAGTTATAAAGAAGCACTTAGAGCTGCCGAATGTCTCATTTTGTAGAAAAATGTTTGCTCTACCAAACTGAAATGCTAGAAGAATTTTAATGTAAAATTTTTAATGTTATACAGAGAGAAAATATGATAAACGGAAAACGCACTAAAATCACAGAAAAATAATTGGTAGGCGATTAACTTTTTACAATTTTGCTCAGTTTTGGATGTTTATAGTTCTGTCACCGATAATACTAAAAACATTTTTGCAGTTCAGTGAGATATTCGGTAGCTCTAAGTGTTTCTTTATAACTGATTCGGAACCACTTTGCTGAATGCCCTAACATCAATTATTAATCAGTGCATACCCAATCTCGATCGGGGTACATTTTTAGATCCTGATTGGGATGCGCTTGATCACGTTTTTATGAATGTAAATGATATTAAGGTTAAAAAGTTGGAATTCAGTGTATTGTGCAACACAGTATTACTCAATAATATTGTACAATATCTTCAATAATGATTGGTATTCTTGCAAAACCCTGCGCAAAAGTTTCGGCTTTGCGAATAGCTTGGTTATATTATGAAATCAAATAATGAACATACTTGAGTTATTCGTACACGTATTATTCACGTTTATCAACGTTTTCTCAACAAACAATATTAGTATTAACAATAATTCATGATATTTCGAACATTCTTCGATTTCAGAAAATTTTGGTTAGCAGACATTTGGGCGCACGACATTTGGGCGCAACGACATCTGGGCACAACGATATTTGGGCGCACGCCATTTAGGCGCAAGGACATTTGGAATTTTCCGCTGTTTGATAACTTCGCCCGACGAAATGATATTTTCATGAATTTTTGCGCGAAAAACTTGTGTTTTGGGAATCCTTCGGCAAGAATTCAGGATTTTCGAACAGTCTCACGCTGGGAATCCAGATTTTCACAAAATTTTTAGTGATTTCATGTTGAGTCAGGTGATGCTCATAGCTCAAATCTGGTATAGCTGAATCGCTTCCGTTCGATTAGTTTTCGCACTCGTTTTAAGAAAGTATTTTTTCTGTCACCATCGATAGTACTTCACATGTATTTCGTCTGTCTCAAGTGAAAGGTCCTTATAACATCAAAGGGTACACTTCCAAAGTGGAAAATATCAATATATTTATTTCGATTTCCATTCGATTTACCTCAGAGGCATTCGTTTATTCCAGGCGAAAAATGTATATTGTTCTCGTTTGCTTTGACGTTGTTTTTGTAAAGAAATAATCAAATGTTCAAACTGTTCTTTTTTACTTTTAGAGTATAATGAAAAGTCAATGAAAAGAGCGAAAAAAAACTCTCAACAAATAACTGGGTAACTGGCCATCGTGGCAATACCACATTGGTTTTTTTTATTACGTGTCATTTTGATATAACCATGGTCACCCCAATCTGAACCCCAGCTGAAACGATGACAAACAAATGGTTCAATATCCAATAAAACATCTAAAGCATAATAATTACCTGTTTTGCACGAGCCAATAATCTTTGCCCGACTCTTTACCGTAACCTATAGCGAGGACACCATGATCAAGTTGGGTTTGTGAGCAAGCTGGTTCATTATAGACTATACAAACCGTGTAAAATGCTAGTAGGAGATGAGAAGTGATGAAAAATACATACTACCGCGTTTGTATAACTGAAATGATGAGTGACTGGCATCAATAGCAACCGACATTGGTCCAATAGTAGCAACGGCTTGTTGAAGAGCTGTTTCGTCTTCTGATGCAATGTCAATGAATCCACAGACTTTGACAATAACCTCTGATGTATTGAACACGCATATGTTGCCAGCGGCTTCATATGGATATGCATCTTCGCTTTCAATACCCCCCGCTGCTATGACATATTCGAAGGCTTGATCCATCAAACCACCATTACAACCCATATTACCCTGTTCACCAGAACAATCAATTAACTGTTGTTCAGAGAGTGAAACAAGTTTGCCAGTTTTAATGGCATATGCACTTTCGATTGAGCCAACTGCTGAGAATGCCCAGCATGCTCCACATTGACCTTGATCTTTGACTCGTACAACATCACCTTTGTCACGCCAGTCTATTAAGAAAACAGTCAAATGGTTGCACAGATAGCAATTTTCTTTCGTTTCGATACATACCAACAGCATCTGGTAATTCAACATTTGGATCTGATGTGAACGTTTGATGCCCTTGACTGCGTTCTTCTCGCATCTTGCCATTGAAACCATTCAATACTTTCACAAATTCGTCGACAGTCTAGTTGCAAAACAAATTATCAACAAACTGTAGTCGAAGTGTATGAAATAAAACTTTACTAAATCAGCATATTTGTTCATTCCGAGCCAGTATGTATGAACGCCAAGATCAGCTTGAAGATTGTGTTCTTCAATTATCTTCAGATTATTTTTCCAGACAGCATGACTACAATTTTAGAGTTTAATGCTCCATCTGATATAGAAATGAAGAACAATATCTCATACCGAAAGTGTTCTTCAGCATTAGAATAACGTTTGTTGTGTGCATCTTTCCATAAATTCCACTGTTGATTGAGTGTCAGATCACGAGCCAATGTACAGCTGAAAGCGAGCGCAACAACTGTAAGAACCGAAATAGATTGCATCTAAATGCAATGTTTTGATTGTAAGTAAAGACATTACTCTATCTCTGGATACTCACCTTCGTTGGATGAAAGAAAAAAGGAGTATGATTCAATCGCACCGTGATGAAAACATTTATACGATCGCTTATCTTAGCTGACGCGCAGTGTCTGACTAATAAGTTTTATGCTGAAGTGCATCGTTGCTTTGTATATTTAGATAGATATGATGATTTTTTCTCTGCTGACGTCTTGTCATCAAGAAAATGTTGACTTAGTTGAAAGTTGCGTTTTTCTTTTGCACATGCAAAATAGTGTACTTAAAGCCTACAATTTATACATTGATGCATAAAATTCTTTCAAGATTGAAAGACATTTGCAAATGAATATAAGTTGTTTGATGTCGTTTCTTTTATTGATTCTGATAGTGTCCATCTGGTTAGCCTGTCGCTTATTGTATCTAATATTCGTTTCAATTATCGAATAGCAGGAATATTTTAAGACATTTTATCTTGTCTCAGATAACGCGTATAACTCAAATCCGGCAGAAGCAAATCTTTTGTAACTGATAAGCTTCAATATGATGTGTTTAATAGTATCGTTTCGGCGCTGCTAATACTACAGTATTTTCTCTCTTATAATCTAGAGCATCATTTTCTGTTTTTTTATCAAAATGAAACGATCTTATAGAGACGTGTCCACATCCCGTGAGTTCTGAACTCTTGAGGATTTCGGAACTGAAATATTGATAGAAAGAAATAAAAGCTTGGCAGCTATGACAGAAATGAACCTAAGGAAATCAGGTAATCCGTGGAACTCAAGTAACCCAAGGAACTCAAAGAATCCATGAAACCTAAGGAACTCACCTCACTGAAATGATATGTTCCCACCCTCAATTTCATCCTCACCCTCACTCAGATAATATGTCCTCATCCTCTTCCTCACGCAACTGATGTATGCTCTCTACCTTTGTGTACATTTTCATCCATACCCTCACCAGAACAATATGATCCACCCATGTATGTGCACATGTTCAGCTTCACCCTTAGTCAGCTGATGTATCCTCTGTATCTGTGTGTATATTTCGATCTTCCCCTCACTTCCATTCTCTGTAGCGTAGTCATATTACTATTACCGTCAACCGACGTTTGAGCGACCGACATTTGAGCGACTCCGACATCAGACACTTTTCAATATGACTTTTTGCCGATCAGGAAAGTCGAATGATTATTCACTTCGATAACGATGATCAGAACAATTTTTTTGTCGTCCGATTATGAACTGAATTATTTGGAGATCTGAGGGTGAGGCTGTGTAGGGTAAGGGTGGGTGAGGGTGAGCGTGAGCACTTGGTGCTGAACGGCCGTTATTACTCAAATGTCGGTCGCTCAAATGTCGGGCGCTCAAACGTCGGTTAATCTACTATTACCTCGGTAATTGGTAATAATTTGTTATTCCTTATTACTTTTTATCACCATTTGCTTACTTTTTATTGTTTTAATGACACCAGAGCTTGTATTGTTTTTATTAGAGAAATATGAAGTACTTTCTTAGTACTTTATTATTAATTACTATTAATAAGTAATCATTTTTTTATTACTTATTACTATTGTCTGTTTAAAAACGGAATGGTCGTGGCCATTTTTCGAATAACTTGAGAACGGAAGAAGCTAGCGAACTGCGTTTTCACCATTTTGTAGAGCATCAATTACTCTACGATTCCTATAGTCAAAATTAGGGCTTTTCAAGCTTGCTATGTGGAGTTAAAGCGATTGCGCTCCGGAGGAGGCTGGGCAAGGTGCACTGGTCGATGGTACCTGAAGAAGACTATCGTTATAAAGAGAATCAAACAAAAATAGCAACCTCAGTTTCTAACAACAATATCTCAACCAGTAACAGTTCCAAAAAAGAAAATATTTTTCACATTTGCCTATTACGGACAAGAGTCAGTAACTTTTACTGAAAGAGTGAAGAAAATGCGCAAAAAATGATTACCACTAATTCAAGTTAATATTGCATTCAAAAGAACATTTACATGGAGAAGTATATTTCTACCTAGGCAAAAAGGAAAGGATGATAGTAAAGAACATAAAAAACTTGTGTATAAAATACCGTGCAATAACCGCGATAATTATTACGTAGGTGAAACAGATAGAAAAAGAGCGGTTCGAATGGATGAACTGTGTACGTTACAGGGCTGAGCTGTAATCATTTCGTTTTAGTAGCACAATTTTACAGAAAATTAACCCTTTACACCCGCCGGTCAAGGGACTTTGATATCATGGATTTATAAAAAGAACGGATCATCAGCCCAAAAGCTAGATTATTACTAATGTAAGACAACAGAGTAGCCTAACGTTTAATTGGAATAAGAAAAAGAAATCCCACCTTAATCCAATAAATCTGAACTTTAAAATTGAATGAAGTTCAAAAATGAATTTTTGTTTTTAAATATTTTCTATATTTGTAGCCAATATACCATTTTCTATTCGCGAATCATTCATGCGAGAATCATTGATAATCATTCATTCTGTTCTCATTCTCATTGTTTTTCTCTATCCATGACTTGCGGATTTTCATTATTTGTAAGCGAGTTTCTGTCAAAGAAAATTCTTTTATGCTTCAGAACCATTTAGCTATACAGGAATTGATGAAGTTTCTCGGCATAATGCCATCCAAAGCGAAATTGAAACAATTTTGGATCGATAATACTAATAAACTCTTTTATTGTTAGGAATTTGTTAGAACGTTTTGTATTGGGATCGCGGATTTAAATTATAAACCTGAAAATGGTGTTAAATGAATAAACCTTACCAATTTCACAGCAAATGATCTGAATGAACTTCACTCACCTATCTATGAGTATGTATCTGGTAATAGCAGCGATATATGAAACGTCTATTTTTGCTTCTCTCTGTGTTGTTCTGGCAATGTTGTATTTATTGTAGTCATTTTCATCTTGTTGTTACAATTAATCAATGTTTCGTGTATTCGATTAATTTTTTTCATTAGATTAGTATTAAGATAAAATGTTAAAACTGACGGTTCAATACATTCTAAAATAGAGTAAAATCTCTTTTTCTTAAAGGACTTCTATAATTATGGGATGTACGACCAAAGGAATCCTACACTTTTGTCTGCATATGTAAGGAGAGCCCATAATTTTTGAATATCTTGTACACTAAGACTGAATGCTGTATAAGTATTAGAATGACTATCTATTTTTGTTTGATTGTAAATACTTTAGAAATGCAGTGACGATGAGTCCATTCGACTTGAAAGGTCTAAGGTGTTAAAATAAAATAAAATAGTAGTACACGAGATATCAAGGTGCAAACAACACTACATGTTAAAATTCATGTTTCTAGAGGTAGTTGTAGAAAATTTAAGGGTAGTCTATTATCATTCCCGAGTAAAACATGAACAACATAATGTCATTAAAAATATGATAATAAGCAAAAAGAAAACCACTCAGAATACGATGGATCAGCAGTGCTTGGTTATCCAAGTTTCTTTTGACCCGATGCCATTTCAAACGCCTTGGTTTTTTCGCAGTGTCTATTAGAGATGCAGAAAATTGTGATTAAACTCAAAATTCTAGTTTACTCAAATTTCGTTTTGTTAAGACAAAATAAAAACTTTTATTTGATTGTGCTTCGTAAAGTTGTTTTTATACAATTTGTAGAAAGAATGTAAAAAGCGCAGCGGATGATGTCGTATTGTACATGTCGAAACGTGGAAAAATAAAATATAACAGAAAGTGAAAAAATGTAAAAAGATAAAATTCATGATTTGTGTCTTGTATATATGTAAATTGAATAACTAAGGAAGAAACAACCTGCGAAGAATGTTCTAGGTGTATATTATAGACTTTTTTTGGAAAAAAATTTCAGTCCAGTCATTGATATAGACTGTATTCAATGTCGTTTTTTTTGCTGATTATCTTTTTTTAATAGATACTATGTTGTTCATGTTTTTCTTCACTTTGCTTCTAATTGTCCAACTCCTTCCTGACAAGCATGAGAATGGAAATAACCATTCGGAAAATTTAATAATTTTATATCAACTCTGTGAGAAACTTAGATTGTAATGTTGCGAATTGTCATGAAAGCATGGTATGGTATTATATTTTAAGAAAAGTGCATTTATACTGTAGAAAACTGCAAAATATCTCCAAAATCCCAGGGGTTTTTGTAAAACCTATTACTCGACTTAAACAAAAAAGTGAAAAAAGATGACATCACCAATGATGCAGCTTGATCTGGAGAACATTTTGGTGTACAAATAAGTCGTTTTGCATGGTGGCTAACGGTGGCGGGTCGACTATATTGAGGACGGGTCATCTGTAATTGACACTATGCAGCTTGTATGGCCTGTTTCTCATCGAATTTCTTTTGGAATTAGTAACTTTTTGGTAGCAATAGATAGCGCTCATTCTGCTGATTTTGAATATGTGCTTTGTGTAGCCATTTAATGCAACGAAGCAAGTAAAATGAACAAATAACTCTCAAGATGTCGCTAAAAGTAGTATAACACAGTACTGTTTTGTACCCGTTTTTCTCTGCGAAGGAGTGAACATCACAATAGACATTTATACACCATTCGATAGCCCTTTTCAAGGGCTACATCCTATACTATTTGTTTTTGAAAAAGGAGCAACTTCGATTTTTCACCTAATGTCCGCGTAGATGCCCACTGTGCGGATCTGTACCGAGTGGCGGCGCGACCATGTTATATTGGAGTTGACCCCGCTCATGCTTTCGAGAAATTTCTGGTGAACGTTCCGATTTTGGGACCTTTCTACCGAAACTTCACGCCACCACTATTTCTGCCTAAATCAAAATTCTTGCTGGCACAGGTAGAATTGTGATCTAAAGTAGAAACTGTCAAACGGCTTGTCCAGCTAACGGTCTCCTTTTTTCACTCTTTTTCAAAGAACTATGGTGATAAAGTTAGAAAATAATCAAAATTACAACTAGATAACTGAGTAGATTAAACATTTCTCTATAAAATGAAAAGTGTCTCCGCTCTGAACGTTATGAAAATACAGCTGTTGTACAAACAGCTCCAAAAATCGATGTTGAGGCTATCTAAAAAGTGTGTCTAAAGAGTGAAGGCGAGAAGTGAAGACGCCGTGACAAAAAAACGGCCAAAAGTGTCACGGCGTCACGGTTTTTCTTTGATTAATACAGATTATTTAGAATAGTTAGCTATTATTTAGAATAGGTAGCTGAGTATAAAAAATTTTTCGCGATCAGATTTTTAGACAATGGGTGTCTGTAGATGGTGCCGCTAATCTTGCAGCCTGTGATGGAGATGCTTCGGCAGTGGGGAGAGAACAAAAATATGTTGATGTGTTCTCACTTAACTTTTACACTCAGCTTACCTCGACGGATTACTCCAATTGGGTTATATAGCACCTCTGTAATCTTCGATATAACAAGGGTGAAGGTAACACATGATTTCGATCCATTTGAGTTTACTATTAGAGTTTTTGACTTTTGAACTTTGAAAAAACTACTTGTGAAAATTTGAACTATTGCACTTGTAGTAGATATCAACAAGTTTTACTCATTACTTGGTTAATAAGGATAGCTTAAAACAAAGCATGTTACTCTGAACAGTAAAATGTCAGATGTATAAAAATATTGTATATAGGTCTTAGGTACTGTATCTATGTCGATCTGTTGTTTTAGTTAACGATATCGAGAAAATTCAAAATTTAACATCATTAAAGCACTTAACACTCAGTGGCAATCCACTAAACACTATTCCAGCGTTTAATAATACAAATATTCAAACATTGACAATGCAACGAGCGCAAATAAATTCTGCCAATTTTCCTAAAACATATAATGGCTCATCCTTACAAATTATCTCCTTAAGCGACAACAACATCAGACTAATTGGAGATAATGATTTTTTATCATTGAAAAATAAAAAATTATTAAAGTTAGATATTACTCACAATCAGCTGAATAAAATTAGTATTACTGCATTTGAAATATTTTCACAATCGTTGCAATCATTAGCACTAAGTCAAAACAGTCTATCCTCATGTGAGTTTTTAGCTACTTTAAAAAATCTGGCTTCAATAAAATTAGATCAAAACAAGTTCACATCATTACCAGAACAATTATTAATACCAAATAATATCAAAAACTATTTTTTCACACAGAACTCAATTAAAATTATTGATCAATCATCACCACTGAGCACGTGGATTAAGAAAAATCTTACTGGAATTAATATTTACCTGAAGGATAATCCTTTGGACTGCTGTGGCTCATTATGGCTCATTGAAAATTTGAAAAATTCAAATAAACGCTACATAGCTGATGCTAATCTATTAACTTGCACAACACCGATTCAATATTTTGGAAAACGTCTCATTGACCTACAACCAACAGAAATGAATTGTGTCATTCAACCACAATTCAAGTTATCGATAGCAGATCGGATATGTTTCCTTGAAGCCACAGAACGAGTGCCTTATGACTTGGGATAATATCACTTTGATATCACGTAGAATATACGTAATCGACCAAGTTAAATTTGATGACAACGTTTATTTAGAGAAAGAATTCAAAAATCTGATTTCACGAAAAATAGGATTTCGAAATTGTTTTCGCTTAATATTATTAAACTTACAATTCACTGAGAAAACATCAGAACGTTCTTTAGTTCTAACGTTTTTGATTCTTTTGACGTGAGTAATTAGGCTAGTCAATTTTCTGTTTATAAGAAATTCACAAAAAAGGTCTGTAATTTTCCGAAAGGACTCCTAAAACAGTTTTTAACAAAAAACATCGTTTCCGAATTTTTTCAATCTTAGAAGCATGTGTAGTGAACAATATTAACCGTATCGTGAATGCGTGAAATGTGAAAAGACTATTGTGTTATTTTACACTTTATTTTTGCTCACAAGTATTTAACACGGAATGGCGAAAAACGCAAGCCTCTTACTATTGTCATTCTTGAATTATTTGAAAGACACAGTATCGCACTGTAATATGAAATGTATGGTAGACTTAGGAAAGTTTGTGCTCTTGCCGTAATATCTTTATTTGTTTTGTTCTTTTAGATAATTTTATTGTTGGCATTTGTGTGGCATGTTGCGGGTATCGATGTCTGTGTCTTTTTATTATGCGCATGCAAGCCAGATAAAGCAACGCCGCACACAATTCTTTGCGATGACAAGGGATTTAATAATTTGACAGATTTTGACTTTCCGTCATCTGTGACAACACTAACATTGATAAATAATAATCTTAAATTTGATTCGAGTAAGTTGTACTTTCTTCTCCCATCCCCCTTACTTTTTCCTTTTACTGAGTATGAGTCCTGCGACGGGTCAGAAATCTATCTTAGTAACGACGCGCAACTTATCCAGGATATGACCGAGGTCTTTTCCATTTCTCTAGTAACCAACTTTTTCCTAATACGCCATTTTGATTATACACAAAATCTATTTTCTCCACAGAACAGAAAAAATTTCAGCCGCTCACATAAAAATAATCTAACAACTTCTTAGTTGAACTAGCGCTGATGACATGATAGAAAAATCGCTACTTTCAAAGTCTACTAATTTTCATTTTCAATTTGAATTTGTTTAGTTACTCTTAAAAGTAAACGATTATCTCTAAGACATTGTCGGTAGAGTCCCATTTTCAACTTTTTCCTTTGCCCATTTTCATCTGTCGTGGCAAGTTGACAATTCAACAGATTCTTGAGAATTGTTTAGAAATCTGTTAGGTCCGGTATACGTTGTTATGTATATGTAGTTTATTTAGTAACTGAATAAGATAATCTTTACATAAAATTAGGAGCTATTTATATCTGAGGTTAAACGGAAACGGTGGGTTATCACCCAGAGCTAAAAGAACACATTGGAATATCTCTTGAAGAAAGAAACAGTACAGAACGAAACCAAGAGATATTACTGGGAAATTCCCTGACAGAAAGAAAGAGAACAATGCAGATACATATATGAAGAAGAGAAAATACCCATAGAAGAAGAATAGAGAACGAATATACATATGACTATTATATAATTGTCTCTTATGGCATGTACGTGCCATAACAAAATCTTTTTACAAAAAATCGAACTATAATTAGGAATAACAGAAGAATCGATATTTGTTAACTCTGAGTCATGTGCGCTTATTACAACCAAGAAAGAAATTGCTTTTTTTCTGATGTATTGGTAATGAGAATTCGCATATATTGTGAAAACGTGCGTTTTCGAAAAAAACTGCCACCCTTGCGGATATCTATAGGAAAAATCTGATAGTTTTATGAAAAGTATCTCTAAGAGGGGTTCTATTTCTCATTTGGATCTCATTCGTCCACTCTTCAAACCGAGATGATGCGGTTGAGATGAATTATGTGCAAGAGTTAGTGAATGACTGCCGCCATTTCAAAGTTCCTCCTAGTTAATTATGATTTGCAGTGAAACAGTTTTGAAATTATTCAACGTTATTTTTTTCACTCAGTCGTTCTTTCTTTTCTTTTCTTCTCAGCAAGCATTTTATTTTTTTCTTTCCTTTTATTTTCTCTTTTATATAGACGGCAGAAAACTGATATTAAAACATCGAGTTACAGAAATAATGCGATAAGGAAAAAATATTTTACTTTCTTGTGAAAATATTTTCTCGTGCCATAGAGCTTTTTTCACCCAAACATTTTCACAAGAACATTTTTCTCTCATGCAAAACAATAGCCATCATAAAACTTTTTACGGTGAAAAAATATTTTATCTTGCAAGCCACTATCAATGTGGCTTCATCGTTTGTGTGAACGGTGGAAATTCTCCAGAAAAAAACATTTTTTCTAATCACCTCACAGTTCGAGATTGGTTGAAAACTTCTTCAACCAAACCTTTGAGTAGATTTGGACTTACTGAACTCTAACCTTTTCGACTAGCAGTTCACTGTACAAATTAATTTTTGAACACAAAGCAAAATAAAAATGTAAGAATAAGTGGGATTTCTAATTGAAGCTGTAGTCAGCACAAAACCTTAACCTTGTACCTGAAGCCAGCATATTTTTTAACAAACTTTCTCGATTATATTCTCTTTGGACGGTTTTGACTCCATGAAGATTTCTGAAATCGAGATCTCTAGAAAACCAAAATCTCAGAGACTCTTTCAATGAGTCTGATCGAGAAGTTTTTTGCAAATAACTCCATCATATAGAACAAACATTTTTCAACAAAATAAGACGTCTCCGAGGTCTCTACGCCATTTTTTCATACAATAACATACAATTCACGAAAGGCCCTGATTTCTTTCGTGTTTTTTCGTTAATTTTGCTGATTTTGGTGCTATGGGATCGTTCGTAAATTGGATGCTGTTTCATGATTTCTTTTTCATGTTCTTCTAGTTCTAACGACTACAGTATTTTCTATGAGAAGCGTTACATGTTGGTTCGTCAATTTAAACGCTACTTCACAGTTTCGTTCTTTTGTGCTCCCTCTTTCAGAGTCCTCTCTCTCAAGTACTTTTCTAAGCGCATATGGAATCCTGATGTTTACTGTTTTACTCGATTTTTTCTTCGTGAACATGATTATTATGTGTGTTTCTCACTGCTCTTCGACATACAAATAATACTTGGCTTTAAGGTAAAGGTTGAGAAATTTCTCCCACTAACGTAACGATACACTGTAAGGTGGGAAATTATTTATAGAAAATACTCGGCGAATTTCAAAGACTACCTATAGGAATTCCTCGAGGATTTTCCAGTTTATAGAGAAGCGAATTTCCAACAATCTAGAAAATCCTCGTTGAATTTCCATAAATAATGCCTAAGAGAGTAGATATTCCTTTTTTGATTTTCTATAAACTGAAAATTTCTTGGCGGATCACAGTGGGCATTTTTTGCTAGAGCAGGCGGACTTTAGCTTTATGAGTGAACTAAAATTTCATGAACCATTTTTTTATAGGTTTTTCATGATCCTCTTTCTAATGGCATGAGAGTTGGGTTTTGA